CTTGGTAGCCCAGGCTGGCCTCGAACTCACAGAGATCCGCCTGGCTCTGCCTCCCGAGTGCTGGGATTAAAGGCGTGCGCCACCACCCGCCCGGCGAGGTATGGGTTTTAAGAATATTGATTTCCTTTTTTTACTGAAATGCTCTGGTCTGCAGACAACACTTTATCAATGTACAGAAAGAATAATTTCACCAGCATAAAACACGGTGGGAATAATTCACTTCTTACAATGAGTTCTTGGTGTGGTGGTCTGAATAAGAATGGACCCCCATAGGTTCATATATTTGAATGCTAAGTCACCAAGGAGTGGAACTCAAAGAATTAGAAGGATTAGTAGGTGTGGCCTTATTGGAGGAAGTGCATCACTGGGGGTGAGCTTTTGTTGTGGAATATTTGTTTAACTAGACAAAGATATATGTTTCTGCTGCATTTGTTTAATTAATTATGTAAAGACATGTTTTACCTTGCCTGCCCAAGGCACCTGATTGGTCTAATAAAAAGCTGAATGGCCAAAAGCTAGGCAGTAGAAAGGAGAGGCTGGAGGGCAAGAGAATAAGTAGGAAGAGGAATCTAGGCTCAGGAGAAGAGATAAGGGAATGAAGGAGAGAGGGAAAAGCCCAGGGCCAGTCAGGAAGCCACCAGCCAGCCAGAGATAGAGTAGGACATACAGAATAAAAGAAAGGTAAAAAGCCCCAAGGCAAAACGTAGATGAAGAGAAACAGGTTAATTTAAGTTATAAGAGCTAGTGGGACAAGCCTAAGATAAGGCTGAGCATTCATAATAAGACTCTGTGTCATGATTTGGGAGCTGGTTGGTGGCCCAAGAGAGCCTGCTATGTGGGCTTTGAGGTTTCATAAGCCCAAGCCAGGCCTAGGCCTTCTCTCTTCCTAGGGATCAGGATGTAGCTCTCAGTTATTAATCCAGCACCTCTGCATGCTGCCATAATGGACCAACCTCTAAAAGTGAGCAAGCCCCCAATTAAATGCTTTCTTTCATAAGAGTTGCCCTGGTCATGATGTCTTTTCCTGGCAATACAACAGAAACTAAAACACTGGGATGCATATTCTAAAATAAATCCACGTATTACCTGCAAGTTTTGTGTTCAGTATTTCTTCATATTCTTCTCGAACTTTCTCTTCCCGTTCTTTCAATAAACGTTCACAGATCATCCCAACCTGCCTTAGAGTAAATAAGGGCTGTTCTTTTTTTAATGGTGAGGATGTTGCAGATGAAGTCCCTATGTACAACATGAATAAAACAGCACCTGATTTAGAACCACCACAACAGAATTCCTCCTGAATGAAGGTTTCATTTAGAACTTTCCCATGTTATTTAAAATTCTTTATGACAAACAGGTTCAATTAATAATTCTATCAGCCCGTGACTTTGGAAAAAGTGTACTTTTTTTTCTAACAGTTTTTACATCTGCTAGGATAGTCTGTAGAGGGTAAAAAAACTTCATATATATTTTATGGTTCCGAGTTCTGAAAGATTATTAATGTAACTGAAATTATCAAATAATGAGATATGTCATAGAAAAAGATTTCCTTAGACACTCATCCTCTTTAAGGATCATTTAAAGTACTTTAATCTCCTATAACAGTTCTTGGCTTAAAGATCATTTGTGATAATCTTCTGGCAACTCAGATAGCTACCCACTGCATCCTTACACATGCAAGCACGTGTGTGTAAACAGATGCTTCCTCAGCTTGCTCTAAGTGCCTTCATCTACGTGCATTGACTCATCCCAGTGAGACTTCTCAAGCTCTGTCTTTCTTTCATCAGAATAAAGTACACTAGCTTTAGATCCCAACTACCAAGGCTAGCTTACCTTACTTTGAAATTCCAAGCCTTGTTAAGGCTGGCAAAAAATTGACATTCTAAGAATTAAAACTGATATTAGTAGAAAACTTAAGATCATTATTATAATTTGAGTAAGAATCACACTCTTGGTATACCTAGAGCCCCCCAATGGCACCATTCCAATACATAGTGTTGAACAATTGCCCTAATTTTATTTGATTACCTTATATCTTTTATTTTTGTGTTTTTGTTTTGCTTTGAATTCTGCCAGGTTTTCTTACCCCTATTAAGGAAGGAAAGCAAGTGCTACTGAAAAAACTATTTTGACAAGGTATTTACTACAGGTAAGATGGCTTTTTTTCCAGCCAACTAACTTCAGCATCCTCCTCATTCAAGTCAGCTATTTCCTACAGTAAAAAAGGACAACACCACAAAACAAAAAACTATCGCCTCTAAAGGGCAAATATGGCTTAAAAAACTGATGCCCAATGTGACAAATGTCTTGAGAGTACATGGAGAGACTATATAAAGTTTCTATCAGAAGAATTTTTTAATGTAACTGACAGATCAAGAATTTAAAAGTGGCACTGTTCAGACACTATTATCTAGCAAAGCATATGGTGGGGCTGGAAAAGAGCTCCGTAGTTCAGGGCGTTTGTCCTTTGCAGAGAACCCAGGTTTGGGTCCCAGCACCTACATGACAGAGCTCATAACCATCTGCAACTCTAGTTTCAGAGTTCGGACACCCTCTTCTGGCCTCTGTGAACACCAGGTGTACAAGTAGTATAAGTACATATATGCAGACAAAAGCATAAAAATAAATAAGATTGGGTGTTTTTTTTTTTTTGTTTTTTTTTTTTTTTGGTTTTTCGAGACAGGGTTT